TTAACGGAACCATGTTCCGATTTCTCATACCTAAGTGATGAAGATATCTCACTAAATAGTAAACAAGATTTGTTTGCAACTAACGAAGTCTACGGCAAATTAGATAATTGCCTAGTAACTGATCAAATAGATACTGACGATCTATTCGGCATCGTTAACTTCGTCCATGGCCAATCAACTCATCAACGTCGCACGACAAGAGAACCTTGAAACATCGTCTATGTTAGATTCAACAGCGAGCGAAAGGGAAACAAAAACCCGTTACACTCTGTTGCTTACTGAAAAGAAGCAATCCGGAACCTTAATTGCTCAAACTCATACTAAGAGTTTACTCATGAAGAATCATGGGGCGTCCAAGCATACGACTGCTTCTATGAAAGAATGAGACCCTCACGAAGTGTAAGGGCAACTCTCGCGATTCCTGAGTTCCAACGATGAATAGAATTATCAAGTGAATTTACAGTAACCAAGAACTTGGGGCGCAAGACGTGATCATAGGTTCATGACACTCTCTGCGATCTAAGAATCAAGTTTGATTTCACTACCATGTCATTGGAGTGGAACCTTGCATTTTTCCCGGCGAAGAGAACAACTCCAATAGAAGGAGAGAATTCTCCATTTCCGGTTTCTGCGCTGTCAGCGACAGAACGAAGATAGTCCAAGAAGATCTTGATACGACATACGAACAAATAGTGCTTAAGGCAGATATGCCAGGGTTCGAAATCCGTTAAACAAGAAGAGCAAGAAACTGGCTCATGCCTTTTTCAACCAAGTGCTTGGACCCAGTCGAGGACACCTTAGGAGAGTTGCCGAATGGCGACTACGAAGTAGAACTTCGTCCGACGCTAAATCCTATTAACCAAAATAGGGCTCACCCTACTCCACGCAGTCCACACCAACACTCTTAAAGAGGAGGTTGAACGTCTCTGCGAGACAGGAGCACTCAAGAAGTAAACGTTCCCAGTGGGCGGCACCAACTTTCATCATTCCAAGAAAGAGGATCTGACGAATCATCTCTGGATTTCCGGGAACGAACAAAAAGGATTAAGCGGAGGCTTATCACTATCACCAAAAATACAGAAATGCACTTGAATCTAGACGGATTCAAGTACGCTACTAATCTAGACCAAACATGGGCATACTATACATCGATCTGTCACCTCACTCGAACAACTCTGTACCATCGAACTCCCATGGGGAAAGTAACGAGTACCAGAGGTTGCCAATGGGCCTACTGAATAGTCCCGAACAACTTCCAAAGGAAGATGAAGCACGAATGCAGACTTAGAAAAATGTCCGTGCATACGCTTGACGATCAAACTCATCCTAACGAACGTCGACCTCTCAGATCGCGTTGAACAGTAGGATGACCTTTCCCCAAAGACTCCAAGAAGTCAGGATTGAAATCAACAATAACCAAGGCCTTCCTCAAAAGAAGAACTGGAGTATAATCTAACAATTGGACTTCTCGGGAAGGAAGCCAACTCTTAACCAAAAGAATAACAAACGCGATCCAGCTATCGCTCTTTCCTACCAACAGGAGTAAATTCGTAGTTCATTGACCAATGAACTACCAAGGTCTGCTCCAAGACAGCAGACGAGAAGTAACATCGTTCTGAACACAGACGTGGTTACCCAGCATCCATGACGCGATCGCATGGACAGAGAACGTGAAGTCCCCCGTAGTAGAGATCAAGAAGACTCTCGGGATGAACATGGACTTCTCGCAAGTTCACGGCGTTAATCGTGACAAGCTTCACCACTCCGTTTCAAAGCAAAACCGGAAATACATCAAGGAACGTCGCCAAACGGACTTATCCGAAAAACACCGATAAGGAGACACACGGCACGTGTCCCCTCGTCCACACCATGGCAACGACACTATGAGATTCATCAGTATCAGAACCGTTAGCCAACACGCACAAGGTCCTTACCACACAGAGACGAGTCCAATAACAATGGCAACTGTAACGGCTCCGACAAACTACACCGTAGCGGCAAAGTCTACCAGACTGGGAACATAAGGTAATTACACCCATACCAAGGCCTATCCCCGTTTAGGATTGCATCGTGCGACGCACATGTCCTACATTCCAAATCTCCGAGAGAGTGCCCCGCACTTTAATATTCATATGTTCTCCTTTTCCACTGATGTCGTGCTTCCGTGAACCCTTGTCAGGGGGCGATGCATACACGGCTCTTAGTCCTTATTCGCGACTCGATTCTTTGTTTGACTCATCCAGATAGGGTTTGAGTTCGACTCATGACGTTAGTCTTCGCGAATAGTTTTTGAGACAGAGTTCTCAATGACCGCTCTAGTCATACTAGTGATGATGAACATCGCTCTAATATTTAGCCAGCGTGGAGCACTTCCACGCTACTAAGAAAAGCTAGACGAATTTTCCACGCTTCCGTTTTGGGATCGTGGAGATAGAGTTTTACCGCAAACCTACTCTATCACACTTTACAGTCTCCCGCGGGAGTTCAGATCTACGATCCTTTGATTGTGGATCTCTCTCGTGATAGTTTTCATAGCTTTCTTAATCCTCTCATAACTTTCATTCTCTCAAACTCAAAAACACTCGAAAGATCTTTAACTAGCTTTTAGCGTAGTGCACTGTAGCGACACTTGGGAGAACTGTTGTGTAGCTGTTGATGGTTGTTTGGCCGTGTAGTTGTGGCCAACTTTGGTGGTTACGCATTGCCTATAAAGGCGGATGTTATGATGATTTTGTTTGTAGGATGGTAGGTTTTGGATTGGGTACCCTCACACTCCTGTGCACTTGCTGTGATCAAATAGCAAGGCATGGATCTTGTAATGGTATCTGTTGTGACCTGCCTGGAGGCTGTGTTGCCTCAGGTTTGCCTGTATCAGTGGAGGAAGTGCTGTGGATTAGTTGCACAATACACATTCCATAAAAGGTAGTAGGAGGTGCTGTGGCTGGAATGCCACAATACAACTCCAGAAAGGGAGTAGGAGGTGCTGTGGCAGGGATGCCACATTACACACTCCATGAAAGGGGTAGGATGGTGTTGGTAACTCAATACACACTCCAGAATTATCAATGCTGATGGAGCACTCCTGTGCTTCCTGTAGCATTTCGCTTGCACTGCTGCTCTGGGAGCTTGTGGCCGTAGCTAGCTAGCTACCTGTGCAGGACATTCTCTGGATTCGCCATACTATATGCTTGGATCGCCATACCGGTAGAACCCTCTTGTTGCCTGCGTACAGAGAGCTGCATGGCTCCGTACACTCCTGGCCGAAAGATACCTTTTCGCAAAAGATACCTTTTTCTGTTCAGTGGTTGCGGTTGTTGTGCGAACTGCAGGCTGTCTTTGCCCGTTCCGTGAACTGATGGTTGCGCTGTCAGCGTTTCCTCACAAAAAGCAATGCTTCTTCTGCCGACAATTGTCGATCACAACACAATGGCGCTGTGATGCGTAGCGGTAGCGACTGGCTAGTGTAGCGTCGCTGTTTTCTTGTTGTGGTCGCCGTAGCGACTGGCTCGTATGAGCCGTCGTTGTTCTTGTTCCTGTAGTAGTAGCCGTTGTTTCGATCGCTCGTTAGACGGGCTGCTCTTGTTCTTCTTGTCGCCGTAGCGGATGGCTAGTGGTAGCCACCGTTGTTCGTGTTGGAGCGGTCGTCGTGTCATCCGATCGCTGTGGATGCCGTGCTGTTGCTTGCCAACACTGTTGTTCTTGTTGACAGGAGCAGCGATCGTTCGATCGCTTTGGTCTTGTTCCTGTCTGGTGGAAAATTGCTCGCAAATTCCCTGTTATCCAGCTTGCTGCCGATGGATGCAACTCCGTTCCTCTGCATTCGAGAACTTGCACTCTTCTGGGCCTGTCAGTGACAGTGACAGTATAGTAGCCACTTCCGTGTATGACAGTCCTTTCGTCGGACCTGTCGTTGCCTTGTAATCGCCCTGGTAAGATGGCTTGTTGTGCTTGGAATTTTCTGTCCGTGCACCTCTCTTCTAGTAGCCTTTTCGATGGCTTCTTGTTGAGGATAGGACACTCCCCGGAAGTACCTTGTGGTATTCCTGTTTGGAGCTGTATCCCAGTTCCTCTTTCAGTGACAACACTACCTCGTGTCACTCCTGTACCAGCTGCTGCTCTGTACAGTAAAGGAGGAATCGGCACTATAGAGTCGTCGTTCCTTGTTGGACTTGTCGTGGTACCGTAGCTAGATAGCTTGGCTCCACTCAAGATTGCATGCACTTGTCGTGCTTACAGATGAGTCCTCTCTTGTAGTTGGTATTCATAGCAGCACTGCACCTAGCAGTCTACGATGGCTGTGTTGCGCAGCCAAAATCTTGTGCTTGCGCTTCCTGTGAGTCCGCTCCCGGCCTCACTCCTAGCGAGCGTTGGTTAGCAAAGCTTTGCTTGTAACTGTAGCGGCTTGATGCCAAGTCGGATTGACCGGTCTGTAGTTTGTGGCAACTGGTGTCGCCACTCCTGTGAGCTGATCTTTGGTTTCGTTCGCTCACTCCCGTGAGCTTGCTTCTTGCTGGCTCCGGAGCTCACTCCCGGCTCCGTACTTGCTTGTATCAGATCTTTAATAGATAGTAGCTCACTCAGTTTCTGTTGTGTGAGTACGATTCAAGCATGCAAATGGTTTAGCTTTCAATGCTCTTTCGCATGGTACAATCCGTACTGGCTGATTCGGTAGTCTCATGGGCGACCGATCTATCCGGTGTAGTCATAGTCGTAGTAGGTTCGTGCATACGGGTTCGAGTTGTCTTTTTCCTGCAAGCTGTTGGTAGCTCTCTCAGTGAGGCTATAGCCCTTTCTTGCCTTGACCGTTTGTTTGCACTGGTTACCTTAGCTTGTTATCATGTAATAGGATGTCGATGTCGCCATGGGTGAAACCTCGAATTCGAGATGGGCTTCGAGAGAATCACTTCTTGGAAATAGTTGGTTGCTAGTAACACTCTAGCTTAGTTAAAGGTAAAATACTGTTTTACTGTTAAGCTATTTCCAAGAGTGATCTTTCTCCATGTATTTCTGGGATTGATTCAACTTCAAAGGATATAGTGAAGGGGGTGACCATATAGGTCAGTTAAACTCCCCATGTATGTAACTAGAGAATAGATATAGATATCCCTTATAACTAGATTGGGATAAACGACTAATTTGTATTGAGGTGTCTGTAATACAACCTCCAACAAGGGGGGAGCCCCACAGGGCTGCAGTACCAGAGGGAGGGTTAGGTTTCCCGTAGAAGTCACCCAGGAACAGAGAAGTCATTCCATTTGCCTGTACAAACGGATAGAAAGAGAAACCAAACCAAAGTAACAAAAGACCAACATGAGCAGCATGAACCAACGAGTTGAATCTGCCTACCGCGGGTACTTTTCCGACGGCCAGTTGGACTGGAATGAGAGTGCTCAGTTGTGCAAGTTCTTGAAGGATTTGAATCCTCCTCCGGATCTCTTGGTGTGGTTGCGGGCGACTGCGTTTCGCATCGGCTGCGAGTATCTTTCCGACGACAAGGACAAGAACGTGGGACTCCTACGGACCGTCAATGCGATTGTGCACGCCATTGAAGCAACCTGTCTTCAGTGAGTAATACCGGTAGAGCGAACGCTCGATCACGGTGGTGGTGATCCTGGTTGACTCCACTAATATTGTCTTTCTCCATATTCTTCTTGTAATAGGTCATCAGGAGCTGGGTCATCCAGTGATGAAGCCACCTTTGTGGAATATTACAAAGGTCTCTTTGGCGATTTGTCAGTAGACCAAGAAGAGAATGCAGAGTTGTTCCAGTTTTTCAAATCCAACAAACCATCCTCAGAATTCCTAGTTGGAGCTCGGGCGTCCGCCTTCAAGGCTGCCTGCGATTTCCTATCGGGGGACAAGGACCAGAATGTCAAATTATTCAAGTGCGTCAATGTTGTGGTTCATGCCTTTGAGAAAACGTGCTTGGTGAGTACTATGCAAAGCTAGATTGAGACTTGCTGGCTTTTCCCCTTCAAATCGTAAGGATGTCCGCAAACTCACTTTGCGCCTCTCACTTTTGCTATTGCAAGGTCCCCAAACCATTCACGCTTCAAGCGGAGCCATCCGTCAATGTCAACGGCATGAGCCTTACAGACGCGGCGCAGCATTTGTGGGAGCTTGATGCTAACAGGCTCGAGCCAAATGAACACTATGCGATCAATGTACAAAAGGGAAAGAAACCCTACTGGAAAGAGGACTCGGCTCCCGATCCCCTCTTTACCAGTGTCGACAAGAGCGTCTGGCAACGCAAAACCTACAAAACATTCGTGGCGCTTTTGGATAACTACACTGCCGAAGTTGGCAAAGAGGAGACTCTGAGCAATGCCGAACGGCAAGAGATTAACGAATTTCTGTCGGCCATTATGCAGACGGCTCCCATGCAATTCTGTCATCGATACTGCCGGGCCAAAAAGCCCAGTGATGTGCCAGAAAGCCTCTCTGGATTCCGCAATCTACTCTTCAAAATCTGGTTTGAGCTCTACCGTCGCAGCCGCGGAGGTCGTTTGGATTCCAGTGGCTTTGAACATGTTTTTGTCGGTGAGGTCAAGGATGGCGACGTATCGGGCTTTCACAACTGGATCCAATTCTACTTGGAGGAAAAGCGCGGAAAGGTCGACTACCGCGGTTACATCAAGCCCAAAAGCAGGGGAGATGCCAATGCTGACGGCAATGATCATGTGCTGACGCTGCAATTTGCTTGGGGTGGCGTCGAAAAGTTTGTCGGAACCTGCTTCATCGGTACCTCGCCCGAATTTGAAATTGCCTTGTACACAATGTGCTTTTTGGTCGGAGAGGAAAACAACATTATCCAGCTCAACACTGGCACAGACGTCTTTGACATTGACATCCGATGCTACCACATTGCCCGCGATAAGATTGGCACTTCGTTCCCCGAAACAAAGTCTCACTACGAGGCCTAAATAAATTGCTTGTTGGATCCGACTTCCGACAAAGGCAACGTCAAAAATACTAAATTGATGACTAATAGCTAGATTGTGGCTAATACTCCTTCCGTTCTTGTCCCGTACCGAAAGCAGAATTCTGCGACCCAGAAGTATTTAGTAACTTTTTCTAAGGTGTACCATATGCATGGTACTCTGTTTGCTTACGACTGAGCAAGGAACACAATTGCAACCGCAGAGGGAACTTCTTCTATCGTGAGTGTTGTGTTGGTCCAGTGTACCGCGGGGCTGGCCAAATCAATTCCCTTTGTGCTTGCACATATTTTTACAGAGTTCTGTAGGAATGCTGCCCAACAAGGATGTGTGGGTGACTACCAAGGTTGTCAAGTTGTCCATGGCAAGTTAGTCAGAGTCTCGGTCGAGTCGAGCCTCTTGTGGCCTGGAGGTTGTATCTTTAACAGATTGCCCCCACGAATGAAAGAACCATCAATCGTTCAATCGATTGAATTTGATTTCAAATCAAAATTAAGAACCTTGCGACCCGAGAGCAAGCCAATCGTATCGCACTGATACTGAACGGCTCTACAGGTACTCTGTACTGACAATAGAAGCATTAACTCCCACCCGACGGGTCGTTTTTTCTCAAATTGAAAATTGATGTTTTTGATTTTAGAAACGTTTTAAAATCAAAAGAACCACAAAAAACCATTCGACGACAAAGAGTAACCAAGTTCATCAGTGTACATTCACAGTTTTCGTCACCATTCTTCGACAACAACATAGCCAATCTATCATGCCTCAAGCAAACAAGAAGAGTCTCGCAGCCTTCAAGGGTCGTCGTCGGTATAGATACTCCAAGAACAAGCACCGTCGTGATAGTTGGGTCGAAGGAGCCGTACTGGTAGAGCAAGAAGTGGACACCGGAAGCAGGATGATCCCTACATGTACGAACGAGCTGCTGTGGCGACCGATCGCAAGGACTATTACTCAGAACAAAACCGAGCTGAAGCGTCTGGCGACAACTACAACTCGAATTACTACAAATGTGCTCCCTCGTGCGAAGGCGTGTGTCGCAGACCGTCGTTATTCAAGGCCCCAACCAGTTGATCGAAGACTGAAAAGCAAAAGCAGCTCGCCCTAAAAGTCTACAAGCAACCGACCGAGACTCGCGACGAGTCTTTCGATTCTATAGCGTACTCAAGTCCACATTATCCGAGACCCGAGACGGGATGCATTTTGCCGATTCGCCCTGGTTGCTCCTGTTGCGGTTGGCTGGCGTGAACATTCCAGCGCGAGTTACGATAGCCCTCACGATGATGACGAGATGAAAGTTCTGCCAAATCTTGCCCTTCCCCAATGTCTTGTAGTCATTCATTCAGTAGGTCAGTGGTTCCTATCAAAGTCAAGGTGGAAGGTCTGTCAATCACAATGTCCATGGGTGCCTCTGGAACACTTGGGCCACGCTGTTGTCTCATAACTTCATGTCAGCCTTCCCCAGTGCCACTGTGCCAGGAAGCATTCCCTGTGACATACCCCCAGGATGAGAATATTCCCATGGCATTGTGGTTGACAACCTGAAGCTGAGACTGCGATACATTTAGGTAGGTTGGAGGTACCATCCTGTGCGACTCAATACTGTCCATGGTCTGTTGGTGGCTCCTTCCTTTCAGTGATGTCTAGTGATAACCAATATAGCTCAGTGTCAACAGTGGGGGCTGCCTTTTGGCAAGCAATAGTTGGTGGTCAGCTTTGGCCAGCAACTCTTACCCTTCGCCAGTGTCTTGTAGTCATTCGTTCAGTAGGTTGGTGGTTCCTATCAAAGTCAAGGTGGAAGGTCTGTCAATCACAATGTCCATGGGTGCCTCTGGAACACTTGGGCCATGCTGTTGTCTCATAACTTCATGTCAGCCTTCCCCAGTGCCACTGTGCCAGGAAGCATTCCCTGTGACATACCCCCAGGATGAGAATATTCCCATGGCATTGTGGTTGACAACCTGAAGCTCAGACTGCGATACACTCTAGCTAGTTTTCCCTCTGCTCTTCTCTTTTTCCACTGAGAGGGCTCGATTCAATCGTATCGGGGAGTTTCGTTTCGTCAGCAAAATACAATGTAGCACAACCTGCTGGATTCCTGGAGCCACCATGATTTGTACCGGTGCCAGTACTGGAATCACATTCCAAGATCGGAAAGGTGTTCCTTCCCCTTGGGCGCGTCAATCTTCCCGATGAATTGAATGGAGTCGTATCGGAGCATCTGCAACTGTGCTTCAGTTCTCGAATTGGTTGCTTGGGTTACTGCAGTAGTTGATGTCTTCCCGCCAAAACGTCCTGAGGTTGGTCGCGTTCATTCCAATTTCTCGAGGTTACCGATACCTTTGCCAGTGAGTGCGATGGCGATCTTAGCTAACCTCGGAGCAGAGCAATGTCCTTGGCAAATCTAACTTGTGCAACTCAACACTGTCCTTCGAATCTGGCTTCAAATAGTTTCATGGGCCACTGGCACCTATCCAGCATTCCACGCCCAGCTCGGCTGTCTTGTATACGTACCATACCATACCATACCATACCATACCATACCATACCATACCGTACCGTACCGTACCGTACCGTACCGTACCGTACCTGGTACCTTGCGGCAAGAAAAAAGCGTCAAATAAGAAATCTAGATAGGATAGGCTAACAACAAGACTTCTTCGTTCATAGTTACTCTCCAGCCATTGTCCGCCTACCGTATGAACTAAACTGCTGTATCCATGTAGCTCCAGAAGTAGGTACCGGTGTACCGGTACATGTAGTCTACCTAGCGACAAATTTGGTTTTACGTACATGTAAGACTGTATGGCTGCTGCTTCGCCGGTGTCCCTTGCATTCGTAACTAAGTAATGTTGTGTGGTTTCATCAGGTTGTCTGCACGGCCGGAGCTGAATAGATCATAACGTCTACCATGAATGCACTCGGAACTCGGACACCTGTGGCACCAGGTCATAACCTTGCATTGTTGCATCGGAATTGTTGCAGTCGGAATGGGAGTCGAGGCGAGTCGAGGCGAGTCGAGGCGAGTCGAGATGATTGAAGCATGCACACAAAGGAGTTCCGAACGTGCCTGTAGTTCTGATATCATACTAGTACATGCATCGAGTCAGATACATACCGGTAGCCTAGCTAGCCAACACACATTGCTATGCACACTGTACTGTAGTGTAGCAGTGCAACATGACCTTATTAGGCGAGCATCATATTTCCCAAGAGGGGTACTAGTGTGCATACCAGTAACTAGTATGCGCAAGTAGACGACTGCCGATTTTACAGTTCCGAGTCATCAGTATTTGCGTTAAAAGAGGGCGTGGCGAGTTGCATCGACAAGATATCAGAGTGAGCCTGATTGCCTAAGGTTTGATAGATCTAGATATGCATAGCTCTACGTACCGGTTCTTTTGAAAGATATAGACTTGAACACTCCTTCTACTAGTAGCTACGTGTACGGGTGTAACTAGCTAGATCGAGGTGCTGTAAGCTGAACATGTAGGTTCTTGTGTGTCATTTGCCTTTTGGTACTGTACGACTGTACCCGTAAGAGTGTCAACATCAGATACGTACCAGGTACCTGGTACAGCTTCATCTTCTATGATACCTCGAATATTGCTGACTGTCTCCTTTGCTTGTGATTGCAAGACCTCCCCGCCAAAAACCCAGGATCCAGTAGCTATCTATGAAATAATCGTATCCAAGCCAAGAACAAGTCAGGTTTTTGTGTGAAGATGTGTGAAAGATGTGAGCAGGTGTCAATGCTACTTTGCCGACCGGTGTGGCCCAATGTAATCACACGGAACGACTAAATGAAAACCTGAGCGGAACAGTCTTGCCGATTTGTGTCTAAATAACAGTCGGAAGCACATGGGAATCTCACGCCTGGACGATTTCAAATGTTGCCGAGTCACTCGAGCATGATCCCTGCAAGACTGAGACTGTTCCTGCCGGTACTGTACATTACCCGTACCACCGGACACCGGATATATTGCGTCCAGCGACTTTTTCTCGTTGCCAGAAATAAATGGTGCTGCTGGATACCCCTCTTCTCACAATTTATTTGATACCGGTACCAAGAAACTCCCAAGCAACTTGCAAGCAACTGCCAAGCAGAAGAAACACACACTCTGAAATAGAAAGAAACGGAGCAGCATGAAGGCTCATTCAGACGAAGAGCATCCCAAATTGGCTCGGACTGCCAATGGTGTGGAAGTAGCCTACGAATATCCTCAAAGCCAACAACCGCAGCGCAGCAGCGGTAGCGGTAGCAATAGCAGAAACAAAACGACGAGCAACGGCGTCCTCAAAAAGGGCAGCAGTGGCAGCGGCAGCGGACCCGTGGACATTGACGCCTTGGATGATTTGTTCCGTCATTTCAATGACCGACCAGACGACGACGATGACAATTCCTTCTTTGGTTCGGAAGAAGACTACGATTCCGACGAAGACTCGGATGAAGAGAAGAAGAGGCTCTACTTTCAAAATCCTAATGCCGAATTGCTCGATAAGGATGCTACCAACATTCCTGGTAGTCCCTGGGCCAAACCAGCCACACGCAAGTCTAACCGTCCCTCAGAGCCTCTCCCCATTGCCAAGTATGCTTCCACTATTGCCTTTGTCATGGCGTTTGGTTGGGTCATCTTTCTCCTTGTCATGGCGATTTGGAATCACGACAATGTTGGTCGAATCATTGTGGAGTGCTTCTTGGCATGTCTTTCCTTTTTTGGGCTCTTTTGGAACTCTTACTTTACTGTATCAGTATTATCAAGATGTTCATCCCTGCCAAAGCATTCAAATCAAACACAAAGTACTTCTCCATGATCCCCGAATCCAAACAGCCAGGAGATCCATGGCTGATGTTACTATCCAAATTCCGTGTACAAAGAGTCGCTCAAGAGTTCTCATGCCCACCTTGAAGAGCTGCATGAAGGCACGCGATCATTACATCTCTCATACCCAAGCCAGTTGTAACATTGTGGTCTGTGACGACGGAATCATGAATTATTTGAATGACAACTTTCCGGCCGCCGAAATGCTCTGGGAAAATGTGGTGGAAACCAAGGGCAAGGTGGTCCGTCTCAGTCAAATCCTCAAGCGCATCCCTCGGGTCGCTCGTCGCCATCTCAAGGGACTCAGGAGCAAGAATATTTACGAAGTGTTTCACCGCATGTTATTTTACTACCATTTTCAGATTGGTTGGGTATCCAGATCCACTATTGATCGTCGAGGAAAGTTCAAAAAGGCATCCAACTTGAACACACACTTGCGGCTTAGCTTTGGTGCCGAAGATCTCTTGTCCCGGTCTGGTGGAAAAAGAACTTTTGAAGACTGCCTGTTGGAGGTTTCCCACAGTGACGATGGAGCCAGGTACATTATGTTTGGAAACAATGTGCGTATTGGACATTTGATCTGTGTCAATGATGCCGATGCCCGCATGCAACCTCCTGTCATTCTCAAGACGGTCCCAGAGTTCATCAATGATCAACGCCTGGGATTTACCCAGCATGCCACCAAGACATTGAATGATCAACGTGGTGAATCGTTCTACTTGAATATGATTGAGGCCTACACTGATGCTCTCTACCAAGTGCACTTCCTTCTGTCTTCCATCCTTGGTTGTCATCCTCCTCTGGTCGGTCACTCTATCTTTCTGCGAACCGAAGCCGTCAAGCAGTGTGGTCGAATGCGCAACTTGAGGAATGCCCAACGGTGGCTCAAGAACATTGGGTTGCCGTTCTTGTCAGTGGATCAAGTTGGTTTCAAGAACTTGCATGGCGGATTGCGTTCCGAATACTGGTCCGAATGTCATGTATCAGAAGACTTCGAACTCATGATCCATCTCTACAACATCGGATACAATGGACGGTACATTGCCTACCCTGGTTGTGAATTCCAAGAGGGTGTCACACGAACCTTTGATGAAGAAGCTGGACGCCACCGCAAGTTTGCTCTCGGTGCTCATGAACTCATGTTCAATCCCTTCCAAGAAATGCTCGGTCACGGCATCTTTACTCCTCTCTTCCGAACCTTCCTCACTTGTGATATTCCCAGTTACTACAAGATTTTCTTGACAGCATACCTTTTCTCCTATACTGCCGGTGGTACCTACTTGATTGTCTTTGCAATTTCCGCAGTAGCGAGAATCCTTGATGCCGGAGGTGACATCAACACTCTCTATGCCTTTTCTCCGGCGGGCATCATTGTGTTGAATGTTGTGGTGTACTACGTGATCGGTTACTCCTGCTTCCTCATTTCCATGCTGAGGATGCATTTTATCAACAGGAACCTGTTCTTCACCGAGTACGCCAAGCGGGGCAAGCTGTACCTCATCTGGAAGATGACCCGCTACGCTCTCTTTTTCCAAATCTTCTTCTACTCCGCCATGGGTAACTACTTTTTCTTGGGGTCGATGGATCACCTATTGTCTAGGCCCAACATCTGTGGTGCTACCAACAAGGACTCGATCACCGTCAGCCGTTGCATTGCTTTATGGGAAACGGCCAAGTTCAATGCCGGCAGCTGGGGCATTTCCTTGTTTGCGCTTTTGTTGGCCTATGCCACTGTCATTCAGGAGTACGATTGGGATGTCACCCACATGCCTGAGTGGTCGACTTGGGACGACCCCGAGTCTCCTTTGTTTGACATTCTGTTGTTTGCCGCTCCAGCGGCTTTCTTTGCCCTTTTGACCTACATTGTGCCTATCCTTATGAATCCGTTCATCCTCGGGTGGCCATTCTACCGAAAGCCCAGGCAGACCAAGCCAAAGCCCAAGAAGAGCGATTCCCGACGATTCAAGGCTCCGAGGGACGCTGAAATCGGAACCAACACTGTCAGCGTGGACACGTTCATGCAAACGGAGGCACAGTTGCATCGCGAGATTGAAAGGAATCAAGCGCGTCCCGACATGGAGCTGGGCTCGTTGGCCACCAATGACCTGACGCGCTCCCATCCTTCCGATAAGCACAGCAAGAGAAGCCTCATGATGGGTGCGGAAAGGAATATGGGCGATGCCTACAATGTCCCTGGCACTTACAACCTCGGTGGACAACGCATCATTGATCGTACCGCCCGAGATCAACCTCGTCCTTACCATCAACACCAGACTAGAACCAAGCACAACTCTCCCAAGTCAGCAAGTGCACCGAAAAGGCCCAGCAATGCTGGGTTCGCGATCTAGAGTCGCAGCGTTTGACTCGTTGCCCTGGATCAGTAGTGCTTACTGCATCCTATGATAGGGCGCTTCTTTGGTTGTGACAACACGAGGAAAAAGTCATCCACTCTATGTTTTTATGTGTCAGAATGTGCTGCTATTGTGAAACCTGTCAACCCTGTGATACCTTGCATAGAATAATAAACTATAATAACAACCAATACAACCATAAGACTCGACTCGTTCGTATCTTAGGCACATGGCTGGCCGACTTGGTACCGGTACCTGGTGGTGCGCCCACTCCCATCTCCCTACGATCAGGTACCCGTCTTTCCTGTCTCGGCGCTCTGGAGTCCGAGTCCTCGCAACTGAGTCTTCATCAAGAAAACCCAAAGTGCGCTCTTCTTTGAGTTCAGCTTCTGACCCAGATCACCCAGCCCAATGCTTCCTGATCCCTTTTTAAAGCCTCTCCTAGCAGTTGCCTCTTCTCGGTTGTCTAGCTCAAACTTGGGAGCTCAAGAGTGAAGCAATACTAGTACCGGACGGTACTAGCTAGCTAGTATAGTATCCATGGACAACACAGAGGTGCCAGAGTAGACCAGGTGCCAGAGTACTAGTAGACCCCAACTTGAAACAAGCCTCCTGGAAAGTTGACGGGACAGCATGTTGGAATGTCAGCACTTGCTAGACGTGCCGGTATGGTAGTACAGCGTAAACACCAAACAACGAAACAAAAAGAGGAATGCTTGTGAAAGCGAAGGAAATCGTTACTAGCTAGCCAATTATAGTAGGACTCAATTCTACATACAGAGAGCTAAGGTTGGTTGGTTCACACCGGCAAGTCTACAGCAGTAAATGAATGACTCCAATGGTCCCAAACCATTTGCAGTCGACTCCAGTTCTGTGTTTAACATGCTGTGTTGTGTGTGTGTTCTTGTTGCATAGGCAACAAAAAAGTGTTTACTTGCTACGTACGCCTACCAAAGGGTTAAGCGTTGGTGGTGGTAGAAGCAGTGGTAGTACCGTGTTGTTGTAGCTGCTAGGGTCATTTCATGCATCATTATTGCAGCATAATGATGATTATCGATTCATCTTGCATTGTGATCTAGAGTAGAAAGGAGGAAGTTTGTGTAGTGTGCAGTGTGGTGAAAGGCTGATGAACCTGTTGGTTGGTGGGACGTTGAGGTTTATGTGAAAGGCTGATGAACCTGTTGGTGGGACGCTGAGGTTTATGCAGAGCGACTTGGAACGTAGGAACACATGGGATCTTTCTCCAGCTGCTGGAGCTTGAAAAAGTGACGTGTAAACACACATGTACCATGTCAAGTTGAGTTGGTTGGGGAGGGAGAATGGGAAGAGGAGATATAGTGAAAACAAAGAGGGAAGGAGGTTGTTTTGTATCTGGCGCGCTATGTCAGTGCGGAGACATCTCCCCCCTTGGGCACAAATCCGACCCCACCGGTGTTTGGCCCTCTTGATCGATGGACATCGAATCGTTCCCCAATATAACCATCGTATCCATTGCTGTTGTAGCCCATATGATGATGTGGTGTCATTTTGTGTTGTGTATAGTTGGTGTGATGTGCCATGGTGAGTGCTTCCTCGCGTTCATCGGCAGCATGCTCCTCAATGATGCTATGTGAGAATGAAAACGTCAGGGCGGCGAATCCTGCGTATAATACAGTCAAGAACATGCACATGATGGAGAATGCCATGGAGGATCGTTCCATGGCGGTGTCTCTTGCCGAGTTGTTGCTATATTCATTTTCTTCTCCTTCTCTGTTTGCTTCTCTTTGGTAGTCTCGGATCTATATGTACAGGGTTAAGAGTGCAGCAAGAGAAATGAGATGATGACATGATCAGTACAACCACTCTACTCTGTCCACTTGAGTTTACTCCAGAGTGAACTAGCTAGAGCTAGAACTTTCTGAATAGCTTACCTCAAATTCTCCAAAGAGAACCGAACAGACCAATGTCAAGTTGGCAAACATAATGAGTGCTCCAATGAAGGATCCCAAACTCAGCGGTGTCGTTCGATGAACATTGCTGGAACAGCAAGTGTAGTATTGTCCCGTGGGTGATTGCCATCCCAGCACTACAGTTCCAAAGACATTCAAGAGGGATGCCAGTACGGCCGTCCAGAGAGCGGCAAATGCCATGGCACGGGACGTCACTGCCACTTCCGGGTCATATTCTTCCTCGCCTTCTCGTTCCTGTTCATTGTTGTTGTTGTTGTAGTAATTGTATTCATCGTTGTCATTGTTATACAGATTGCGTGCACTCAGTGTGAATGTGAGCGCGGTCAAAAAAGCGATCGCTGTTAATATTGAAACCAACGACCACAGTGCCGCTAACAGGGCTCTTCGAGACCCTATTGAATCTCCACACAGTGATGATGACATTCTGTGTGTGTGTGTGTGTGTGTGTGTGGATGTGTTGTTGCGTCGTGTGTGTGAACAAGACTCTCTCAAGTCAAGTCAAGTCAAGTAAGTGTGTGGTAGATGATGTACTGGTCTTGGTAGTAGCGCGTGGAAAGGTGAGAGGAGCAGCGTGGTGCCTCGAGTTGATTGGAATGAATTCAATAGGATATCAGAAGCAATGCTGGAGTCGAATCTCTTGCCGCGTCAAATGCTTCTTGGCTAGCAAGGTCGTCTTGGGGGTGGATGGACAAACAAGGAGGCCTTTAACAACAGCAACACCGACAACAATCAGATCAGTTCAGGTGCCCATCAACGTGTTTTGCTTTTTCATTTGCATTGGTTTGGCGCAGATGCTCCTGGTGAACCTCTGAAGCCGCCTGCCAGCAAAACGGTGCAGCCGCTTTCGCGCGCTCTATCGCCATCCAAGACATTGTAAGTCAGTTGATTTGTTTGGAGGTCACCTTCTCTCAACGCCAAGATCCTCCTGGATCTGTGTCCACTCCATCCCACACATCTGGACATCATCTGGACATCATCTGGACATCTATCTACTGTATCATCTGGACTCCGTGACTTTGCAGTATCATCAATCCGTCGCATTTGCATGTCGTAGTAACAGTATTCAGTTTGGAAGTCTATCTACCTGTCCGCTAGCTAGTCTCGTACTTTTTGGCCAGGTTGTTCCGGCGCTGCGGTTGTTTGCGTCCATTTGGGAGCCTGTCTAGTTCTAATCTAAGATCAACTTTTGGCTGCATCAGAGCGTCGAGGGTAGGTAGGAAAGCCAATCCCAGCAGTACTCTTTTGAACCTTCTGCAAGGCACGTATCTGTGGAACCAACACCGGTACCGGAGTTGTAGTAGCCCCACAAAAGTTCAAAAGCATGGATCATCTACGCACCTAGGACGGCTCAATCTCAAATATGAGTGATGAGATACTCATGAGGAAGGTCATGCCGGTACCGTACAGATAGATGTACAGATGGTGTCATTGGCTCTCTTCATGGACACTGTTGGAGCTAACCAAAGCCAAATACAGTACATGTAAGTTGTGAGAGTTACTATGGATTAGAGAGAGCTAAGATGAGGATGGGGACAGAGCTCCAGGGGAGGGCACGATGCAGGAACCCAAGGCAAACAATCAAGTGCGCAAGCAGGGCAACATGGAGTACATGTCCGGTACACAAGTGTAGTTGTGAGAGGCTTTGCCAGATCCAGTGTAAAGTATCGGGTTCCGGTACGGTAGGCTGAACCCGGTGTAATATGTCACGTGAGAACAGACGGCCAGACAGGATTCACCTCCCACCACGAAAGATCTGAAGAAGAAAAAATGAAGGCCAAAACAGAAAAGTTTGTTGCTGTTGTGTTGTTGTTGATGATACCCCTGCTGAACCCATTCTTTCATTCTTCCATCAACAGCAATAATCTCCAGCTCGCCTAACTAATTAATAAAGTTAACCATCTCTCACCATGGGCAAATCCAAGGCAGACAAGAAAAAGAAAGAGAAGAAGGTGCTGCTGGATGATTCCGACGCGGACTCTTCTTCTTCCGACGATGAGGACCATGATGAAACAACAATCAGAAAAGGCGTGAGTTTTTCCATCAACACGAAATACGCCAAAGACTACCAAAGTCGGAAACAAAAGGAAGAGTTGGCCCGTGAAAAACAATTCGATAATGATGACGATGATGACAGCAGTACTGGCAGTAGCAGCAGCAGTGAAGATGAAGATGCCGATTTGCTCACTACCAAATTGGACGTGGATATTATCAAGACTATCAACGCCTTGCGAACCAAGGATGAATCCATTTACAATCCCAATGTACGATTCTTTGCCGGCAGTGACGAAGACGATAGTGATAGTGAGGAAGAAGAAGTTGCCGAAAAGAAATCCAAACCCAAGCGTGTCAAGGATGTTCTGAGAGAACAAATTTTGGAACAAATGGAAGAAGACGACGAAGAAGGAAACCGCAAGCAATCCAGCACGGACGACAAGACTGATCGCCTGGCGTATGACGAACAACAGCAAGAACTGAGAAAGGCGTTTCTTGTAGACAAGGAAAATGACGACAATAATAGTGACGGCGACAACGACAATGACAATGATGATTTCCTCGTGATCAAAAAACGACATATCGGCAGTAGTGGTGATGATAAGGAAGCCAAGCAACAATTGGATCAGGAACTTCGAAATCTCGAAGATTCCGTTCTCAATAAACCTGACCAACGCACACTAGTCGATCCTCGTGGAGAAGTGGAGGATGGAGAAAAGTTTTTGCTCAATTTTATCAAAAACAAAACTTGGATGGAAAAGACTGAAGACGACAACATGGACGACGATGATGATGAGGAATCACTGGAACAATTGGAACAAGCCGATGACTGGGAACACCAGTACAATTTCCGTTTTGAAGAAGCGTTGGCAGCCGATGCCACGTCGGGAGCCGACTTTTCCGTGCGAGGATATGCCCGGAGTCAAACCATGAATACTCTCCGTCGCAAAGACGAAACACGACGCGACCGCCGATTGGTTCGCAAGGAACGCAAAGCGGCCGAACGCAAAGCCAAGGAAGAAAAGTTACGCCGACTCAAGAATGCCAAACGAGAAGAAATGGAACAGAAAATGAAACGAGTCAAAGCTGTGCTGGGAGGTGCTGCCAATGAAAAGGATACTGACAATGACGACAACAACAAGCCCGATGGCCCCATGGACGAAGCTGCCATTATGAAACTTTTGGAGGGTGACTATGATCCGGAAAAGTTTGAAAAGAGCATGCAGGAGGCTTTTGGGGATGATTTCTATGAAAAGGAAGATTCCGAGTGGAAGACTGATGAGGATGTTCGAAAGGCGCTCAAAGAGGATGGAGAGGTCGATTACACCAACTACGATGAAGAAGCAGAAGACGTAGGCGAACTCGACAACAATAATAATGACTCCCAACTGATGGGAGATGAAGAACATCATGAAGAAGAAGGCGAAGACGGTCACTACGATTCAGATAATGATGATCCCGACCAAGCAGACGAGACAGAGCTGGAGAAGAAAGTAAGAGCCAAGATGGAGGACAAATTATATGAGCTAGACTACGAAGATATTGTCGCGGGGATGCCCACTAGGTTCAAGTATCGCCAGGTGGAACCCAACAACTACGGATTGACCACCGAAGAAATCCTGTTTGCACGACCTCAGACGCTCAACCAATTCGTCTCGTTGAAGAAACTGGCGCCGTACCGAGAGGGTGAGGAGTATCACGCGAGTAGCAGAAAACGACGAAAGTTTCGAGAACAGCTTCGAGAAGAGATTGCAGAAACCGAAAAGCGACTGAAAGAGCAGGGTATCACTGTCAACGACAATCATGAGGAAGCACCAGACAGTGATGCCCCGAAAAAGAAAAAGCGTAGGCGCATGAAAAAAGGCGGCGAGAGCAACAAAAAGCAAAGCAAAGAAATCAAAGCAGCAGACAAGCCCACCAATGACAATGACGACGACAATCTGCCTCCCGCGTCAGAAGCAGCAGGTGAGGAAGCCACCGAGGGCAAGAAACAGAAACGCCGTCGCAAGAAGAAGGGCAAAAAGATCTCCAACACGACAAAGGAGCAACCAGTCGCAGCGCACGACAAGAGTGGCGAGAAGAAGGCTCGAGACTCCAGTGAGAAGCCATTGGTTACGGATGCTGCTCCTCCAGCGACAAAGATAAGTAAAGATCCCTCCGGCGAGACAAAGACAAGTGGAGCTTCCTCGAACGAAACAAAGAAGGCACGGAAAAAGAAAAAGAAGAAAGACAAGAAGGTGGCAGTGGAAGGGGTCTCTGCTGCGCGTCTTGCTTCCTATGGCCTTTAATTTCCAGTGGGACATGACTGTTCGAGTCCTGGTAGAAGACGCACGTCTTGTTCCCTTGCCATGCCAATCTTTTCAGTAGCTATATAGATATGACATAGTAGCTGCTATTCTTGTCTATTGTTTCTATTGCTGTTCAGAAACAAGCTTTGATTCTAGCTGATGATGGTCGTGTGCACAAGCCCATCAAAAAAGAACAACTGAGGCAACGAAGACAACCGCGAACAAATACCAAAAGCCTCCGCCGACCCTGCAGCATTTCTTGAAGACACTGGCGCAGCAACTGGTCGGTGCTCTTGCATGGCTCACGTTCGACCTGGTGAGGTGCCCCTCCTCAATTATGTAAAGCAAGTCATCATGGAACTGGGTATCCACGGGAGGCTCAAGGCTATACCGAATCTGCCACAGCGCTTCCTCATCCAAGTTGTAGGAACTTCTTGGTAGCAGAGGCTCAACTAGAGCTGTCTCGGACTGTCGTTTCAATCCCACGAAGTGTTGCAGCCTTGACAGAAGTCGGTTGAGCGCGGTGTCTTGATGAGTGAGGCTTTCTTCATGTGTCTCGTTGCTTTGTTCTTCAGTGGTTGGCTCGTTTTGTTGCTGCACCATCGTGTGCGCTGGTGCACCCTCCTCGTCCAAGTTGTTGGAAGTTCTTGGTAGCAGAGGCTCGGCTAGAGATGTCTCGGACTGCCGTCTCAATCCCACAAAGTGTCGCATTCTTGACAGAAGTCGCTTGAGCACGGCGTCTTGATGAGTGAGGCTCTCTTCATCTGTCTCATAGCTTTGTCCTTCATTGGTTGGCTCGTTTTGTTGTTCAGGCTGCACCAGCGAGTGCGCTGATGTACATAATTCGGGCCCCGGAACACTCGAAAGCTGAAGACAACGAGGAAGCTCTCCCGCGTTTTCTCCCTGGTTCATTGCTTGCAATGTGATATGTTCCACGTCGCATTCGTCGTCGACTGCAACAGTTTCGAATTGTCCAGAGCATGACTCTTGACTTGATGTGAATTGTCCGGAACGCCCATACTCCCTCGAAGAACAGGACAAATCGAGATAAGGTGGTATTATCTCGGTCTTTTCTTCTTCTTGGCCGCCAAATGCTTGTGGCGTGAATCGATCAACGTGTCCCCCCCATGATTCCTCTCTGGACTTTGGTTCCGTATCCGAAGACTGTGACGAGCTTGCAAATTCAATGTCAATTTCAGTTGGGGAAATATGAAGCTCTACTTGTTTCAAAGTGGATTTGTCAAGTTCTTGATAGTGCTTGTTTTGCACGCTTCGGTTGATTGGGCTTGTTGGCCTGTCGTCGCGTGATGGGCCTTCCCGTTCAAGTTCTGATAATGTCGAACCATGTTTCCCTTGCTGTTCAACAACGGGGGCGAAAGGTGCAGCCGTTGACTCTGGGATTTTCAATTCCTCTTTGTATTCTTCCACACCAATACCCCAACCTTGTCCTTTCTGTTCAACAAAAGGGGACAAAGATGCGCTTACTGAAGCTGGGGTTTGGAATTCATCTTTGTGTTCTTCGACGGCTTCACCCCAACCTTGTCCTTCTTCTAAAATAACCGGGGAAAAGGATGCACTGATTGATTCTGGTCTTTGGAATTCGTCCTTGTGTTGATCCACAGCATTGTCAACAATCTGTGGAATTTCTAAAGTCTGTCGTAACAATGCACTGTCTTCGGGCTCACTGTCCTCCACTACAATAATGTCACTTTCCGAAGAGCAGGATGCGGAATAGCGTCGTTTGACCCCGAAGATACCCTCCTCACTCGTGTTTCTCGTCATCGATTGAACTCCGCTTGGTTTCCGCGGGTCTTTGTCGGCTCTGGAAGCTGAAGAAGAGCAAACTGACGACGAGGTTGACCACGAGTCCATCGTTATGAGTGACTTTCCAGCAGGCTGTGGATCACGGGATGGTTCCACGTTTTCTACCTCAGAAAACGACTTGGTGCCGTGGTCGGCATTGGCGCTCGCTGTTCTTAACAGCTGGCGGCGGGTTCTATCTGCGATGATCTGGGCATCGTATGACTCCACTTTCCGAATCAATGACGAAACCAAAGGATATTCTTCCTTTTCAGCAAGTGCAGCATCGTTTTGTACCTGCAGTGACAGCATAGCATAGGGTTGCATCAGGTTGGAAGAATCCACTGTTTCGGACTCGGGCTCCGGCAGCATACCATCTTCTGGTACCGGTACATGTACCTGGACCAATGGCATTTCATATTGGTGGGTCAGATTCGGGGTTGCTGCAGCGTCACTTAATACCTTTGGAGTCAACAATTTCCGGTTCAATTCTTGAGGTGATCGAGAAGCCCCCGTTTGACTTGACATAAAGGATGACGAGTCAGAGTCTGACCCGGTGATAACAAGGCTTGATCCCGAGGATTCGGAGTCAGCCCATTCCTCGCTTGAGTATGATCCACTTCGTCCTCGATCTGGCGATTCGCGGTTGGGCTGTGTCTCTCCAAGGATGGCGGCTGCCGTGTTGAAAAATAGTTTATCTGCAGCATTGAAGAGCTGGACATTCCTGTCACTCACATTTGTTCTTTCCGTTCGATTTTCTATGTAGTACATTCGCAGTTCTGCGTTGGTTCCAGACGAGTCTCGATCTCGGGCAGCACTCAGAGCGTCTCTCTGGCCGTCGGCCGTGGACGACCCCTGGGTGCCACTCTCTGTAAGATACAAGCAATGCCCTGAAGGACTTGACGGAGTCAGGTAAGACTTGTCCATAGTAGATTCGTCATAGCTTCTCCCGGGCGAGCTATATGATGTGTCGAAGTCATCCTTGCTGCCCAAGATTTGCGACAATATTTGTGACGCACTTTCGGAATTGTAGTCATCAACCACCTCGTTTTCACTAGAATACCTTGGGCTGAGATAGGATGGGCTGCTTTGGTTAGGCGAGAAACTGTGGCTTGGAAACTGACTGTTCGCAAACCCTGAGTTACTAGACTTCCCACTGAAATCGTATGACTTCCCATAGGAACTGGACGATTCGTTTGTGACGAATGTCATTTCTCTTGATTGAGACTCGACTATGTTTAACGTTCCCACTTCAGGTTCCTTGTCCGCTTGATTTTGCTTCTGCGGTGGAATCCCAAGGTCGGAATCTCGTTTGTTGGTGGCTCCCGGGCTTCCGGGAACATAGTAGCTATCGCAAGAATGCAGATCACCCTCTGGCTCGACTACTTCTGGTTCCTCAGTGCATTGAAAGCTCTTAGAGTTGCTAATGTCGCCTTCGGGATCACGAGGGTTGACTGAAGGTTCATTGCACCGTGGTCCTTGAGTGAGACTCCTCTGTTCGGGAAATTGTCGCGGTGGAAGTGCCATTCCCATTTCAGGTTGAGGACCAGATGAATCATTCTCGCTCTGGTGCGCTCGGCACTCATCCTTGCTGCTGCTTTCAGTTTGAAATGGCAACAAATGCTCAGGTCTTTGAAGCGACGATCGCGAGCTCATGCTGATCCTCCGATGACACGGTCTGTGACAAGGAGAGCTTGGTGGAGACGAGCCGGACCCGGACGACCACATGGTAAGAAATGAAGTCTTAACTTGAGTCGAACAATGCCTGTCCGGGGGAACATCTGTTGTGCAATAGCTAGGTGTTGCGCTCTCGCTGTTACGGTTCGATTCTGACGTTGAATGAGCTGACGACGACTCGAGAGGCGAGCTATTTTCCTCTGACGTCGGATCTTCGTCCTCAGCTCGTATTGGCTTGAAGAACATTGGATTATCATCGGTCGACTGTGGTTTCTCATTTTCTTCTCCTGCAGTTGTGTTGTCGCTCTGTTCGGTACAGCCTTCTGCTGAGTCATCCAACACCATTGGCGAGTCTACGTTAGATGTAGTGCTTTCTCCTTCCGAAGGCGTAGAGAAGCCATCGTCCGGAGCCCTTTGGTTTTCCTGTTCGTCCCTTGCAGTCTCGGCGGAAGGGGCAGAAACGCTGCCGTAACCAATCTTGATGGAGCATCCTGTCAACTCCACGTCGATTTCATTGTCGTCAATGTGAATCTCGACGCCGTCAACTCCTTTGTCCCTTGCGTGGCTGCTAGTTGTACTATCAGGTATCGTGTTGTCATTGAGACTTTGTATGCTGGTATTGATGGAGGCTGTATTATTGTCGGTCCCACCACCAGACGTTGTTTCGTCAGTCTTTATCCGAACCACTGCGATCATTTGCATGTCATCAGATGCATCCGAGATCCGGGGCCCATATTGAAACTTTTCTTTGGGAGGAGGCAGCCTTTGTTGCATCATCATTGCAGACGCCTCATCAGTGACTGATGAATACATGGATTCCGTTGGCATCAGCAGCAGATATGCCATGCTATCTTTATTGGGATCCGGTATCGGACACTGCGAATTGTGGGCTTGCTGCTGCTGCTGCTGTATTAATCGACCATCTTGATGATTACCAATGGCTGCCAAATCCTGGCGCTGCACGTCGGGGCAATGAAAATCGCAATCCTCGCAAGCATTGAGGAAATCATCGCGATGTTCGTCCATCAGGGAAGGGATGACGACTTCGTTGTTCTCTCCGTGACGACCACGCCGAGCCCCAGACCTAAGAGCTGCTACATAGGAATCATACGGGCCTCCATCCATAGTAGGACTTGAACACGGAGATGACATGCCGTTCTGGTGGTCGTCGACCGAGATTATTCTGGGAGTTTCTGGTGACTGAGCCTGGAGATTGCTACGTTTGGCAACACTGCTGCTACTGACGTTTGGGGTCAAGTGGTTACGGCAGTACTCCTTGATGAGGGCATGCTCTTCAGGATGTATTCTAGCTTTCCTCCGACTTGCCTCCTTCGATGCTTGCATGAGAACGTACACGGCATTCCTGTCTCCCTCTCTGAGGCGTTGAATGAATGACTGCAGTGATTCAGAAGGAAGATCGGAAGCTGGAGGAGGATCTCTGCTGACTCTGCTTCCATCAATACTGGCCCCTGATGGATCATTGGAAGCCCTAAAATTTGTGGCAGTAGCACCCAACCCTGCCGTCGCACCACTGGTCAGTCTATGAAAGGCATCCGCCATGCTACTAAGGTGGAATCCCGAATAGTTGACACTAGTCGGCGCATCTTTCTTATCCCTCCGCCTTGCTCCATGCATCGTAGTGGGAGCTATGCTAAGCTATTCGTGCAGTCTCGAACGATTACAAACGAGCTCCGCGCAACAAGAGCTACCCTACAGTGTAGCCTAAGCATTCGTCTTGTTGCGAGACGGAACGGTACAGGTGTTACCGCCTCTAATTGGTCCAACGTCCAACACGCCAGGCTCCACGTCCCTCTAACTTCCAAGATTAGATTGCCCGATTCTGTGTTAACAGATCAACGCTCCAACTACTCGCTTTTGATTGCAGGGCCACCATGTGCCATCGCCCAAAGGCACGACGATGTGTTGGCGATCCGGTTGTGGCTTCGAAGCATATCACAATAAAATTATTATTCTAAATTGTGAGGAGATGAGGCTCTGCCGTCTACGGAACATTAGGGTTAACAATAGTTTGATTTTAAAGCAAAAGATCGACGCAATCGTATGTCCGCACAAGGGTTGTCTTGATGGAAAATCTTGAGTCATGACTTGAGTTGAACTTTTGGTAAAAAGCCTCATGACGTGGCATCTTGGTTTGACTCAAGAGAGAACTCAAGTCGGCATCAAGACATGACCCAAGATTTTGCTTTCAGCCCCTTGACTTGAGACAAGTCTTGGTGCCGACTCGAGTTCTCTCTTGAGTCAAAGCCCAATGCAAACCGGAAATGAAGAGGCCTTGGAAGCTGAGTACCGGTTAGGCCCTTCCTACTCAAGTCATGACTCAAGATTTTTCCATCAAGACAACCCTTGTGCGGACATTAGAATGTGTAATACCGGTACCGGTACACAATACTAGCATCCAGCCGGAGGTGAGTTCACATTCAATGGACGTGAGTGAAACTACAAAGCACCCTTCAACCTTGGAGCCAATGTTGACTTCTTTGACGCTCTCACTCTTCCGATCTGTCTGTGTCAGTGACACTCCTCGACTCCAACTCCTCCCTTCCCCGAAATAGAAGCACAAAAAAAATAATGAGCTCCAAAGGACCCCAGGACGCCGCCGTCAATGAGGGCGCGCCGTTGACCGGAAGCACAAGCAATGGCGCGTACGGTTCAGCGGAAGATGGGGCTGCATCTAACCAGCCTACTGCGTTGAAAGATATTCTGCGAAAGGCTCCATCTGATTTGCGTGGATCCATGCAAAGCATAAGAGATTTGATTGAGGAACACACAGGTATGGGTATACAGCACAGCTGCTCCATATATGTTGCCTGTCACCATTATTATTCTGCAGAAATAATAATCTAAAAACTTCTTTCTGTCTGCCTCCTTCTTGATGCAGGAAAAATTGGCTACTTGGGATCTTATGCGATTGCCTGCAATTCCCTTACGGGTCCAGCGATGCTGCACTTACCGGCCACATTTCATCGATCTGGCCTGATCCCAACACTCTTTGTCCTCATTTTTGTTTGTATCTTGGCGGCCCTATGTTCACTCCATATGGCAAACACAATCTCAAAAGTTCCTGGTAACTCCAACTTCAAGGAAGAGGTAGGTCATTCCATGTCAAGCTATACTATTGGGACTCATTTGTCGCTGACCGTCTCTCTCAATAATACGATGCTTTCTAAAGGTTGAATACGCTGAAGTTTTTCGCTTCTTTTGGGGAGAGAGGGCCTACATGCTAGCCCAACTCTTGTTCTTTCTTTGTATCTCGTGCCTGAATATCTCGTCCATTGTGGATACAGCCCAAACGGTTGATACTGCCCTTGGCAACTATGCCGGTTCTGTGGCACTCCAGATTTCCTGGGATCCAGAGGAGGACACCTTAAGTTGGATTCATTGGGTAGCCTCGGAATGCTCCCAGGAAGTGAAGATCGCAGGTGATTGTCTACCCTACGTTGACGACGGCGAAGACTCGTCGGTTATCCTTACAGCGGGATATATGATAGTTGTCGTCATCTTTTTGCCCATGGCATTGATGGATCTGAAGGTAAGGGGACAAGCAAGGATGGAAGTAGTCAACCTGATGCTTTTGCCATAGATGAGCTCAAATCAATTCAAACGACATCTGGTTATGACCTTGCAGGAAAATGCTCTCTGGCAGATCGTTGGGTTCATTGTCAGTATCCTGGCATCTTTTCAGTTCGCCATTGCGTTCATCATGGAAGGATTGGACTTTTCGAGTCAGTCACTATGGGGTGAAAGTTGGAGTGCACTTTTTGGTGTCATCTTATTCAACTTTGCCTTGGTTATTGCCATCCCTGCTTGGCTTTATGAAAAGGAAGATTCTGTCGACGCCGCCAATGTGATCAATGGATCCTCTGTTCTGTCTGTGGTACTCTACATTCTTGTGGGAGCCTTGGGCTCAATGGCCATGCCCAATGTGTCCGAGAACATGCTCGAGTCCATGGAATCAGGAGCACATGGAGTGAGTCTCCAAATTGGTGCATCCATTTTTGCATTTTTCATCATTGGTCTTGGCATACCGTTGTTTAGTGTTTTGACACGCTACGGTTTGGTTGGCAGCAATCAGTTCTCCACAAAGGTCGCCAACATGCTGGCGGTGTACTTTCCCTTTGGTGTTGGCTGGATGCTGTATGAAGGCCAGGGCATCACCAATTTGCTGTCCTGGGGTGGAGTCATCTGTACCAGCTTGGTGGCGTTTATCCTTCCCCTGCTGGTGGCTCTCCACACAGTCGAAGAGAACGAACATGAAGGATTTGTCAGTGTGTACGGCATTTACTTGAGCTGCTTTCCAAGTCTCGAGCACGACAAGGGAGCACAAATTAGGGTTCTCAAAGTACTGTTGGCACTGGCCGTTCTCTCCATCATTGCCGCCATTATTGGAAACATCGAGGGAGACGCTTAACTAACTAGAGTTCTCCCTCGACAAGGATCAGGAACGAGTGGTGGTGAAAGATAGAAATGAATTCCGATGCCCCAAGTGATCGGAGAAAGCGTATATCAAGAGTCTATGCCTTTGGAAATGGATTGACAGAGGCAATGCACTATACATCATGATACAATTGCGTGTTAGGTTGTTAAGCTAATACATTCTTCTATTATGCGAGATGGCTTGATTTCTGGCTAGCATTGTGGCTCAAGGAGGAAACTTCCAGTATTCTCCCTGGAATTCAAGCATTTTCTACATCATGATTCGATTTTTGTTTTATGCCACCACATCTTGGGGCTCCTCCCCTGGAACAGCCGATTTCGAATTTGATTCCTTACCACCAGGCTCAGTGATTGGTAATAATAAAGAACTCTTTGTAGGTGACAATTTGTCGACTTTGGCCTGATTGTGAGCCATGCTGTTGTCGTGTGCTTTTGTTGGTACCACACGGGTCGTCGTCATTCCAAAATTTTCCATGGTTTGTGCAAGATTTCTTGACACCACAATACACGCTTTGCCCAATGCCAAGTGATTGGAATCCCACTGAAACGGTCGTTCGCAACACACCGCCGCCGCTTCGATCCCCAACAAACCCCAACTGGCCAACTGCAGTGGCAATATTGCAATCCATGATCCACTCTGTGCAATGGCTTGCATGTGCCAGAGGAAGAGATAGAGGAGTAAAAAGGTTCGTAAATGTACCACGTAGACAAATGGCAGAGGCGTTCCATTGATACGTTCCATGGCTCCCCAGGCACCCGTGAGCAGATCGATTTGTTCGTTGAGTTGTCGAAATAGCATGGAATGTTGTTGTTGCCTTGTGTCGGATACTTGAAAGGCCAATTGTCGCAATTCGTTGAGGACCAAAATGGGAGCATATTGATTGGGTCCCTTGGCATGGAGAAATCGGACTCGATCGGGAACGGATAAAATGTTACCAATTTCCTGTCTTCGATTGCAATCGAGGCCTTCCCACGGTCGCAAAAAGTTCTTGACGGCCATGGGAAATGCCGCAATCCATCGGACAAACTCTTGTGCCATGTCATCATCATCATTACATTGTGGTTGTTGATGACGACACCCCATCAATGCCGTGGATGCTAGTGTCCGACAGACTTCTACCATTTTCCCCATGGCCGCTCTCGCATCCCAATATCTCACAGCAGCTCGTCCGAGTCGAAAGACGAGCAAGAACGAGACTGGCGTCAAAATGGGTGTAATTAAGGATTCCAAGCCTTGTAAGGTTTCGGCAATCTCCAAGGGATCCTCCATTCCAATGAGATAAAAGATCCATGCCAAATCCCATAGTAGTAGTGCAACCAAGGGCAAGAGGATCATGCCAAATCGACGTCCCCGGATGCGAAAGACGAGCAAGAAACTCTGTGGATTGTAGGAAACGAGATTCTTGTCGCAGTCGGCCAATGCGGCAAGTCGTTGCGGCGTCAAGAGGGCATGGTAGACAGATGTTGCTGTTGGAGGAGGAGACTGTGGAGGAGACGGCATCTTTTTTGTGTTGTTGGTGAATATTGGTAATGCCATGGTTCCCACCCATGACCTTTCTGCCGGCTGTCACTCGTCCTGAAGATTGAAGATGATGGAGGGAGGAGTTGTCAGTGGAGGGAGGGGTTGTCAGTGGTCGTGTTGCAGAAAATGCCAAATGACGTCAGCTTCGACCCACACTTGCTCTTTTCGGAACTGCACTCAAAACCAACAACGGCGGAGAGGTGAACTTTCGCAACCAAAACCAAAAACTTGTTTCTCACAACCCAGCCAATCGAAGTCTTCCGAGTACTCAAAGCTTGCTGCTGGGACTTCGGATTCCTTACTCAAAGCTACTAGTACCTTTAGAATAACATTCCGTCTCGCTTTGGTACTGACTATCTTTCCACAAAAAGCTCTAGCTAGTCCACATACTACTAGCTAGTTAGCTTGGGAATGCGACGATGGGAGCCGTTGATGAGAATCCCAATATGAACAAAAATGGTAGCTGCGACTCTGCCAGCTTTGGCAGCCATGATGATAGTAATCATAGTAGCCTGCCGCCCTCCAACCACGAACGTCGTCCATTGATATCCTTTGATGACGAAGACGATGATGAGGAGGATGAACGAGACTATGGAGCCCTGGGATCCTCCTTCATCGACAACAATGGCAGCCATCATTCCACAACCACCAAGAAGAATAAGAAAAAGACTACAATCATGTTGGATACCAGTCACCACTCCCTCATGAGTCAGAGTTCCAACCACAGTTTTCGCGAAAGATTCAAGGAGTTTCGATCCATGTCACGAGAATCCATTACCACTTCCATGCGCAACTTGCAATCGGTCATTGCCCAACACACGGGGAGCATTGGCATGTTGGGCAGTCTTTCCATTGCCATTAACAACTTGACGGGTCCGGCCATGCTCAGTCTTCCGGCCACATTTGCACGGGCGGGAATTGTACCCACCACTGTGACATTGATCTTTGTCTGTATCTTGTCGGCACTTTGTAGTCTGCATATGGCCAATACCATTTCCAAAGTGCCCTTGAATGCCGAGTTTCAACAGGGCGTCGAATTTCCAGAAGCCTTTCGAACATTTTGGGGATCACGGTGGTTTGTGGCGGCCAATGGATTGTTCTTTGCCTGTATCACTGTATTGAATGTATCGTCGTTGGTCGACAATGCACAAGTCTTGGATACCTTTTTGGGGCATTACAATCCGTGGGGTGGAGCCTGGGCACTCGCCCTCAATGGCCAACAATGGACTGTCGCCATGGTACACTGGGATCCTTCCATTTGCAATGACCGGATCCTGTACGAAGGAGGGTGTATTCCCTTTGCCACACCATCCTTGGAACAAGACGACAATCGTCAAACCTATCTCATTACAGTCGGATATGTCGTGACGGCAGTTCTATTTTTGCCATTGGCACTCATGGATTTGACGGAAAATGTACAATGGCAAATACTGGGCTTCTTTGTCCTCATTGTCACATCCATACAATTCATTGTCACATTTGCCATGAGTGACTTGGATGCGTCTCATCTTACATGGTGGGGAGAGCACCATGAAGACTTGCTAGGAGTGGTGCTCTTCAACTTTGCTCTGGTCATTACAGTGCCAGCATGGCTGTATGAAAAGGAGCCTCATGTGGACATTCCAACCGTACTGCATGCTTCCACCATGATATCCACACTCTTGTATATCCTCATTGGGATTTTGGGCTGCTTGGCCATGCCAGGTGTATCCGACAATTTTCTAGAAAGCATCATGTCCGGATCCTTGGGTTCCGCCATGCAAATCGGGGCATCCATTTTTGCATTCTTCATTATTGGATTGAATATTCCTCTCTATTCCATCTTGACCCGGCTCAGTTTAATGGGAGGGGGAAACGAAGCGAGAGCCAACAGTCGATATGGCAATAGACTGTGCTCACGGCCCGTGGCCAATGTATTGGCAGTCTATCTTCCATTTGGATTGAGCTGGACCATGTACCAGGGTTCCTACGTGACGCTATTGTTATCCTGGGGTGGCATGATTTTCACGTCTCTCGTAGCGTTTCTACTGCCCCTTGCCTTGGCGCTTTACGTGGTAGAGACCAATTATGAAGACTGCAAAGGTTCGGTGCCTGTCTATCCGTGGAATTTGTCAGAGTACCTATCTTCCAAGCAATCGCAAGTACTGGCTCTCAAGGTGCTGTTGCTGGTTTCGTTCGTCGCCGTGGCGGCAGCCATCATGGGGAATGTGCTTGCCGAAGAGAATGGAATACATTCCAACGCAACTCATGCAACAACAACAACAACATGATTCGGGTTGCTACGAAGACTAAGAAATACCGTGGTTCTTTCCAGGCGAAACAACCGACAGATGTTCTATCTGTACGGATCAATCTTTCCTTCTCCTACCAACAGTCACAACAACAATCTGTCTGTCGTTTGAGGCGTTGACTGGCGACAAATCAACTCCTCCAACGGGAAAATCTCTTTTACAGGGTACTTTGATTATAACTCAAACCTACGAATGACAAGTGCATATGTCAACGATGTACCAATTGGGAAGTCGAAGGATGATGCGAAGTTCATCCAGTGTAGCGGTAACCCTTGCCGCGAAAGAAGTCATCATCGGATTGCCGCAGACTCGAACTCTACCTTCTAACGGCCATAGGATTTTTAAAAAAGATCTTCAACTGACATCACCTTTACCTCCTTTGAATGAATATGCAGATTGGTAAGAAAGGCAGATGAGTTGGGTTGGACAAGACAATACCCCGGTCGAAGGCTGTAGATGGCATCCATCACGTTCTCCTTGTCAACCAAATCCGATGCTCGAATCATCCCCTCTGGATCGATGAGATGGTCAGGTCGCACTGCGGCAATCTTTTTGAGAAAATTTGTTTCTTTCAAAAGCTCACGTGCCATGTTCGTGGCATCATCTTCCTCTTCTTCACCACCGGTCATGGCAACCCAGCTGTGCATGAACTGTAGGGGAAGCAATGTAACGTCCTTGAAAGCTTCCGAGGATGTCATCGGCATCAAATCAAGGATGCTCTTCAAGGTGGCCCTGTGTCGTAGCATAGAAATGGCACTAATAGAAGGATGCGAGAGCAGCTCCTCTTGAAAGTTTCCAACCAGACTACTGGCAAAGAACATTGCGGATGCCACCATAGTGCGATCTTCTTCTTTGTAGCTCAATCCAAACTTTGCCGCAACTGCGAATGCCAAGTTGGGTCTTTTCTCCATGTTCTTTTTCGTGTGGCCCAGGCACATCGCACCAAGCTCGTCCAAGTCGTAGAAGTCGGCTGCCACCAATACATCCAGCAGCGTGTCCATCTCCATTGGCGTCATCTGGGAGGGTTGCAATGTCGGGATACACCCCAGATGGCAGTAGTACTTGACCGTTTCAATGACATTCGAGGAGAATCTGGGACACACTAGACCCTTTTTTGGGTCAAAGTCATCGCCACCGAGCATCTCATCAAATACCTCGCTCGCAACGCGCAACATGTAGCTTTGACACTTGACTTGTTTGCCATCGCTGCAATAAACAGTCAGATCATTTAATCGATCAATGTCAATGTTCTTGCGATGCTTGGCAGCATGGCTTTCGTACTTGACATTTCTCCATTTCCACACACCGCCCTTCTTGGATGGCTTTGCCACTGCATGAGAAGACATCGAGCCTGAGATTCCGAAGCGAGATCCGCGTGTTGACATGATGATAATGTACCGTAGGCGAGCGAGTTGAAAAAGTGGTCCCAGTGCCGCAAAAGAAGAAAACGAGATTCGATTCTATGCTTTATTGCTTTGTGGCAAAAGTCACACGCAGCTACCTCTAGCTAGAGATGAACGTGTGAAACAGCGTGGGCTTCCCTCGAAGAGTCCACGCCACATCTCGCATCTCTGCCTTCGGTAATGTGAACTGCCTATGACAAGCTGTGACAGTATATATTGCAACGTGGGAAACATCGTTCTGTGTGATGATGATGGGCTTTGGCCTGGCCACCGTGAAGGTTTCCCACGTTTGCAGTCTCCACGTTCTCAGGATACTTCCACGATGCAGTCACGTATGCAAATGACTGAACCCCACCCCCACGGCAGCAGGCAGCATCGACGCATCTGTTGGGCCGATTCTGTGAAATTCCTAATTCTGCAGAATCAATCCAGGCTTTTTTCCAATCCAGGCTGTTCTTTCAATGACCATGCTAATATTCCCCAACTCCCCATAATGGTACGGTGCATGGTGGCTAGCTAGCCAACCAGACACTGCGGAGTTGGCTTGTTGCAAGTTTGGTGGTGTCACGGTGTTGTCAGTTTTGGCTGGGAGGGTAACAGGTTACCAGTCGTGGTAGTTGCTTTGCTGGGCCTCTCTTGAGGCCACCTCTAGGTAGCTAGCCAGCTAGCTACCTAGCTAGCAAGCATTACCTAGTAGTAATCAAATCATCTTTCTTAGCCAGTGATAGCTAGCTAGCCCGAGCCAGCAGTTGGTTCTCCCAGAGCTCCTTGCACTCAGATCCATTCCCAGTTCCATTACAAGTATTATGCTGAGATGCAAGCTACCAATCAACCTTCCCGTTCAGCGACGTCTCTGTGGTTTCTACTCTGCGGAGGCCCCAGCTAGTTATCACTAGCTAGCTACCAATCAACTCTCCCAGCTAGTGACAGCCATAACAGTTCTCCCCAGATGTATGCAGCAGCATCAACAAAGCAAAGCAACTGAATAGAAATAGTGGAGCCACAACATGGGTGGGGGTTAATAGCTATGACCGTATTTCGCAGAAAAGGGGTAATTCTGCAGAAAAATATAATTCTGCAGATTGCATAAGAGAAAAATTAAAATTCTGCAGAATTTCGTCTCCTGGAGAGATTTGCTTTAGGGGTAATGGTACGATGGGGCAGAGGTTTGAATTAACCCGGCGCGCATTACTTAGAAGGCCCTGTAGAAGTCTACGTATTCGACTAGTATTGTATTGACGGGATACAGTCAACGCATGTACATGCACATGAAAGTCGCCTTGCGTTCTTCACATTTTAAAAGTTGGCTCCTAATTTTTCGGGGTCGCCTGTGATTTGATTGGACGCTTGATCTTTTTTCAATGACTGACTTTAATGACGTACGAGGTGCAATGCGAATCTCAGAAAGGTAGTTGTAGTAATAAAGTTTTTATATATCAGATTAATTTACCCTATATTCCTACCGTTTATACTTATAACAAGAACCCGTCTTCTCGCTGGAACATTTCATCGTATTGATCTTCTCCTAGGACAGAAAGCCCCAATATATCCTTAAATCTTACAAGCATGTCTCTCATTCGTTGTGGCATGGCAAAGTTCTTTGGATCCCAATCCAGCTTCTTCAATAAGAACAAACCACTCATGGTTCGCACACCTTGATAACACCACGTAAGCCCAGTTTTGACAGTATCGCCATGAAATGTACCAATAACCACACTGCAGAATATCCCTGTAATTTGTGTCCAGTTGTCGCAGAATTGCTGATAATCGGGAACTGCTTACCCTTCATCTTGGTGTGTACAAATTCTCCGTCATAAAACCATCTGGTACTGAAAGTGTATCTGCTCCGTTACATAAAAAGTACTGGCATATAGTCTCCATTTCATTTCCACAAGGATGATTTGGCTTGACACTGAGAAAAAAGCCCAGAATCTTGCAGACCGTTGTCGAGTGGAATAACCATGGGGGTGCACCATGCCTCACATTCACCTTTCCCACAAAAAGCCGAAATCCATTGCTTCTCCATTTGGAACAATCGTGTTCTCTGTAAAACATACAGGACACCACTTATATAACTATCAAAGCAGAGATCAACACGATTTCGTGAGTCCGAACCGGTTTTAACGAGTCTTCTCCACATGTGAAAAGAAGTGCTTTAAAACAAATTGCTCTTAACAGGAACACAGTGTCCCCGCTTGATTGGCCATTTGAAGATCGTCCATGAAATTGAGTACTGCATCCATCAGCACGGATCATCAGCATGTTTTGTTCTTCCCGCAAATTCTTCGAAATAGCAGAGTTAATGGCATCTCGACTCGATTCAGATAAGTAGCAACTCTGAATGTTCTCTGGATGGAACATGGGTTGGGCCAACCACGCAGCGTCATTGATATGTCTCAATATCTTCTTCTTTGGTCGCCCTTCACGGAATCTTAAACCGCGTTGCCCCCATTCAGGTCGTCTTTGAAGCGGTGCATTCCATCTAACTCAATAATAATTCAGAGAGTCATGACATTCAGGAATGGTGTGCTGCAGATTGTAAATTGGGGGCGTCCCACTGGTTTAAGTTGAGAGTAGTCCCCGGCGAACACCAAGTTAAGTCCCCCAAATGGTTGGTATTCTTCTTGCATCAAGGTCTTGGTGGTAGTGGAATATCTTCACTAAGTCAAGTTCCCCGGCGAATGAAATTTCGTCGATGATAAGCATCCGTGCGTCACTCCATTCTTCTCCAAGTTCTTCGCCACACATTTCCCGAGTTCTGATCAAATCCCACAGCTGAATCGTTATTTCCCCATGTAGTATTGAGCAGCAACCCCCGACATAAGCAGTGACAACAATGGTTCAGCTCTTAAATGGATGATCAATCAAAAGCAGAATTCTTTGCCATAAGCCATGACATAAGTCAATTAAGGTAGTCTTCCCACTTCCCCCAGGCCCATGTAGAAGAAGAATCAGTTGGGTCCACACTTCCCTTCAAAATCAAACGGTTTTTACGAGAAAGTCGGACTTTTGCCTTCAACACCATACACGGGACTCCATCCTCTAGTCACCTTTTCAGCTTCTCATAAAATGTCAACAAGAAGGCTGCATGAAACACTCGAAAGCCCTTCTATGCTTGCTCGTCCATGATCATGGCAAGCCGTTGCCCACGGTTCTTCTATCAGTTATACATTCTTAGATTTCATTGACGCGCTGCGAACATTAACCTGCTGGATTTTACTTAAATACATTTGCCTTTGAATGCACTGCCCGTTTTGTAAGTAGAACTTCAATGAACTTGTGATATCGAGGTGTATGCGGTTCCACTCTGC